TGATTTTTATAAGACCACGCATTTACAATCCAACCCATAAACAAGGCCTATGTATGTAACAATTAGGCTTGCAGTAATACTACAATCCTAGAATTTTTACCTCAAATTTTATTTAAAAATATCAATCTATAGCTCAGGTTTATTTCATACTTAGACCCACATAACACCAACTTAATCTCTACCACACAATCATAACATCCAAAAAAATTCTTGGTTGAATTTTCTAAGACTGTAAGATTAATCTTTAAGAAAATGTTATGAATTTCAAATAATCTATAAAATGTTCTACTAAACCGTTCACATGTGTGTGGGTCCCACACAAACCCATATATATGTGGGTCACATACTCATATAAGAGATTTGATAAAAAATTTAATAAATTATTTAAAATTCCTAATATTACTCTAATCTTTAGGCTTGCTTATGAATCATTGTTTTAGGTTTGGTCAAGAGTCTAGACTTCTTTAGCCAACTACTCTTACTAACTACTAATCAATCTTACCGAAAAGGATAGTGGTAAATGTTTTATTTATTTTTAAAGAGTGCATTAAACAAAAAATTGATTTATCAAATTTGAGGAATCTAAATTACTTTTAGGGCAAATTATACTCGTGGCCTTTATATTTTGTTCCTTATATCATTTTAGTCCATACACTTTCAATTGGTTTAATTTTGATCTTTAATTATAGATTTTATGTCAATTTGAGCTAATTGATAATCTCGTTAGTATTTTTGACGAAAACTAATCATTGAATTGGTTGAGACTAACGCATTGAGCTGAGTAAGTTTATAATATTGCTCTTAAAATTATGACACATGCCACTTATATACATATATTTCACGCAAAAATGTTAAAAGTTGTAATTAATTGGACCGAATTGAAACAAAATCATAAATTTAGAGTGAAAATAAAAACAATTGAAATTATGAAAACTAAAATGACACAAAAACAAAAGCACAGGGTACTACTATCGTAATTTATTCTTACTTTTATTGCATAACTAGCAATATAATGTATGCAAAGACATTCTTTGTCTTTATATTACCCAACTTGACTTTGAGAAGTGGTGGATGAGTGGAAGAAGTCTAAGAAAAAGAGAGTGATAATTAAACTTGACTTTGAGAAGGCCTATGATTAAGTGAATTGAGGATTTCTACACTCAATGCTTCTAAATTTTGGTTTTGGTTCAAGATGGATAGAATGGATCATGGAGTGTGTTGCAACAACTCGTATTTCAATCCTTGTTAATGGTTCTCCTACTAATGAGTTTTTTTCCACAAAGGGGTCTTAGACAGGTAAATCCATTGTCCCCATTCTTATTTAACTTGGTGGCTGAGGGTTTGAATTTGTTATTAACAAGGGCATATCAGTTGAGAATTATTAAAGGGGTGAAAATAGGTGTTGGAGGTGTGGTGTTGTCTCATTTACAATTTGCTGATGATTCCTTACTTTTGTGTGAAGTTGAAAATGAGGAGGTCAGAAACCTGAAGAGGATCTTAAGGTGTTTTGAAGTTATGTCTAGGTTGAGGACTAATTACCATAAAAGTCAAGTTTGTGGAGTGGTGTTCTTGATGGTCCTTTGGCCAGATTTGCATATATACTGAACTGCAAGATCAATAAGTTGCCCTTGTAGTATCTAGGGCTGCCCTTAAGGGCTAATCCTAGTTGTAAAGCTACTTGGAAACCAGTGTTGGATACAGTGAGAAGTAGACTAGATAGCTGGAAGAGAAAGCTTTTATCCTATGCTGGTGGACTTACTCTAATTAAATCTGTCATTGCATCTTTACCTGTTTATTATCTATCTTTGTTTAAAATGCCTGATGGGGTAGCTAGAGTGTTAGAGAGGTTACAGGGAGTCTGGAACTGACTAAGAAGAAAGGTACACACTACAAGGAAAAGCAGTTTTGGCGACTAAAAACCAAATTTTCGTCGCTGCAAGTAGCACAATTGGCGACTAAAATGGAATTAGTAGCCAAAAGTGAAGACTTTTGGCGACTAAAAGAGTTTAGTAGCCAAATGTATAGTTATTGGCGACTAAAAACAGATTTAGTCGCCAAATGTATGGGTTTTAGCGACGAAAGGTTTTTTAGTAACCAAAAGTGACGGTTTTTGGCGACTTAAATAATTTAGTAGTCAAAAGTATAGGTTTTGGTGACTAAAAAATAGTTTGGTCGCCGATTCTACGTGTTTTGGCGACTAAAAACAGTTTGGTCGCTGAAAGTGAAACTTTTTTGGCTACTAAAAAAAATTTAATAGCTAAAAATAGGCAATTGGCGACTAAAGTTCAGTTTAGTAGCCAAAATGGGACTTTTGGCGACTAAAAACAAGTTTAGTTGCCAAAAATGCTACTTTCAGCCGAAACTTATTTTTTTAGCGATTAAAAAATATTTTAGTAGCCCAAAATTACATTAGTGGCTTCAATTTTTTTTTAGTAAATAATTTATTTTTTACATAAATTATATTGCATAAAAATAATTATATTTATATATATAGTTTTATATTAATACGGTTCAATATAGTATATAAATAATATATATTGCGTATATATTCATGTGATGTTGTAGTGGTATAGTGGAAGGAGTGTGTTGCTAAAGATTTAGAAGGTAGAAGGTTGGTGGTTCGAATCTCAAAAAAAGCAAAAAAGTTAGTTTTTTTTTTTTTTTTTTTTTTTTTTTTTTTTTTTTTTTTTTTTTTTTCCACCGAACAACCTTTGGCGACTAAACTATTGGTTGCCAAAAGTATTTGTTTTGGCGACTAAACAGTTTGGTCGGCGTTCCATCAACTATTGGCGACTAAAGATTAGTCGCCAAATGTATAATTTTAAACAGTGGAATTGAGTATTGGCGACCAAAACTTTGGTCGCTAAAGACCTGTCTTTTTGCCGACTAAAACCTTTTTAGTCGCCAAAACCTTTTGCGATCGTTTATTCGCGATAAAATCGGCGACTAAAAAATTTAGTCGGGGAAGGTAAAAAGGCGACTTTTGGAGACTAAAAATGGACCTTTGGCGGCTAAAAAGTTAGTCGCCAAAGGTGATTTTTCTTGTAGTGACATATGGTCAAATGGAAAGAACTGACTAAAAGCTTGGAACAAAGAAGTCTGGGACTGAGAAGAGTGAATATGGTAAATTCTTGCTTACTAATCAAAAGGTGGTAGAAATTTGGGTATGAAAAAGAAGCATTGTGGAGGAGAGTTATTTGTAGTAAGTATAAAGTGAACTTCAGAGATTGGATTCCTTCTACTAGTACCACCAGTACCATGTCTAGTGTTTGGAAGGAATAATTACCATTGCAAAGTCAAATAACACCTTTTTGGAGTATTATTTGAATAACTTTCAGTTAAAGATTGGAGATGGGAATAATGTTAGATTCTTGGTGGACAGATGGTGGAATAGTACATGTCTTAGAGAGGAATTTCCTAGTTTGTACGGCTCAGTGGTGGATAAGGATGGATCATTTAGATCAATGTATGAGAAAAAGGTTTCTGAAGGAAATTGGGTGTGTCGGTTCAGAAGAAGGTTGTATGATTGGGAGGTTAGTGAGGTTATAAGGCTTAGAAAATTCCTTCTAGTAGCACCAAATATTATAGTAGATCAAACTGAGAGTCCAGTGTGGAAAGTGACATCTTCAAAGGTGTTCTCAGTATGCTCTATTTATAAAGTTTTATTAGTTTCAGTTGGCCCTCTGTTAAGATCTAGTAAATTGGTGTGGATTACTTACATGCCTCCAAAAGTCCAATTCATTACTTGGCTAGCTTGGAGAAATAGAATTAAGAGTTCAGTCTTCTTACAAAGAATTGCTGTCCTTCAAAGTAATGTATCAACATTGTGTGTTTTTTGTAAGGCTGAGATCGAAACAGTGAATCATGTGTTGGTCTCTTACCCATTTGCTTGGAGGGTGTGGTTTGTAGTGCTAAACTGGTGGGATATTGTAGGGGCTTTACCTAAATCTGTTGAAAACATTCTATTATGGTGGGAAGGACAATATTTTAGGAGTCAAGAGAGGAAGATTTAGAGAGGAGTACCTCTGATTGTGTTGTAGTCTCTTTGGAAACACATGAATGATTGTGTGTTTAATGCATCTATTCCAAATTTGGCGGAGCTGTGTGAAGTGATAAATGTGAGAATTGCATTATGGATGAAACCAAGTTATTCTAAGCAACATTTTTCAGTGCAGGACTTTCTAGTAAATCTAAGGCAAGTGAGAAGTTGTCTTAGAGGGAGGGGTGTGTAACTCTCTTAGTCTTGTTCAGTCTTGTTGTTGTGCTTTCTTTCTTTTCTCTTTTGGTTGGACTTTCTCCAACTTTGTGTGGTGCTAGCCAATGATTGGGCTATCTAGCTGGTACCAACCTAGTTGGGATTGACTAGTATAACTGTGATGCTTTTTGCACCCTCGGTCTTTATTGATGTTTATCTTTGCATTTGTATTGTTTGATTTTCATCAATAAGAGTTTTTTTGGCTGTTAAAAAAAACAAAAAAAACTTCGTGACATGTCATTACTAATTAATACGGTTAGAAAATGTTTAATATTGATAAATATCAACTCTAAATTAATTTTTATGGTGTAAACTGTCACATATTAGTTGATGATTTATTTAAGAATCAACTAATTAAAACAACCTTTTATACGTCAGTATAATCCGGTTATCTAGTAACAGGGATTGTTGCTTCAATTATTGTGAGGGAACAGATTTTTAGTGACGACTCACAAAAGAATCTAGCGCCTAAAACTGTTATTTATTGTAGTAAATATTTCTAGTTCTACTTGCAAATAGAATTTAAGTCCATAGAGCATGTTAAATTCAAAATCAATTTGTAATGAGTGGTGAGGCCCATCTATTATATTAACTAAATTTAAGTGACTTAGATTAGATTGTCAATAAGTCTGGCAAATGATAGCAATAAAAAATAAACAACAAAATGTAAAAGCATGCATATTAAAATTCAACAGCAAAAGAAAGCTAAATTAGCAAGAAAGAAGGGAAGAGAAATTTAACTTACCCAACACCAGGAGGAAAAGAGAAAGAGACACACATGAGATAGAACCACTCCAACTCTGTCAAGTCCTCCGGTGACAAAGAAGCACAAGGCCGCCGTGTTTGCTGGTTTGACTCTCCCGCAGACAGCGACTCGTACAGCTCCATCAGCTGCTGGCTTCGTTGTAGTGAAGCCTCCTCCGAGCTCACCTCCATTGGCTGCACTGTCTTTCTTGTTTTGATTGCTCCATTGTAGTACCCTTCTCCCCACACTAACATCCTATACCACCACCATTTGTGTTTTAACTTTAAAATCATAGACATTCATAAATATGTACAAAAATCAAAACAAGTAATATCATATAAATAAAAAATGGATTTTTTTGTTCTTTTTTTTTTAAATGAACGAAATGCAAAGGAGACATGTGGCCGATACAAGTAAGAATGGTACAAAATGAAACTATTTGTACTTCATTAATCTACAATTATTTTCACCCATTCTCATTTATCTGAGATTCTCACGACAAATAGGAGAAAAATGCTAAATATACTGAATTTTTATACAAAAATTTATATATAAAATGATGTGTTATTGATATTCTTTTGAAATGATTTTTATTTATTTTTTTTTGTCATACAGAAAAATTACAATAATGTGTGTTGATTGTCATTGGTATAAAAATAAAAATTTATAAATTTTAATTTGTATATATAATATTACCTATAGAAAATAAATAATTAAAAAATAATATAAAAGTCTACTTTCTAAATTCAATGATATGTAAAAGAGATAGTTGATTGATGGTTAGAGAAGAAATAAAAGAGAGTATTATACTAAATATTTTAATAGACTGCCATGTTACTCGATTTGAAAAGAATATAACTTTCATATTAAAGTAGCATTACTCAAACAATTGAGTAGTGCTATTTTAGTCAAAAAAAAAAAAAAAAAAATTAGACCAACTTTCTAAATATAATGATATGATAATCTATTAAAATATCTAAAACGTTTTCTTTAATTATCGATCAATTATTTTACTTATATATTATTAAGTCTGAAAAATAGATTTAAAAAGTGACTTGTATATCATTTTTTCAAACAATTATAGTGTAAGGAAGTTGATATTGATGATGGCAAAGAAAGAAATGAAAAATTGACTAAATATACCCTTGTTGATCAGGGCATAATTGCCAGAAGAGACTGTAGGTCCATTGAACAGTTTGCACCGCCGTCTGTAACATACTTTGTAGGCGGCTACTCGGCGGCGCCTCCATTTCTTCCGCTGAGCTGTCACCCTCACCACCAGATCTTCAATCTACACAACAATTCTTATTTTTTATTTTATATATATAAAACCCAGCAAGAGAATTTCAAAGAGGAAAAAAGAAAAAAGGGGATATATTAGGCTTAGATGGGAATTATATATGAGAAGAATTGAACTATCTCAAAGAAACCATGTGAGCTTAAAATCAAAACCCTTTAATCAATTCACTATATTGAGAGAGAGAGAGTAAACTGTAAAAGTAGATAAGTTTGAGGGGAGGAAGGAGAGAAGAGAAGGTCAGATGAAGGGGTGAAGACTGGCAGTTACAGGTGAGAAGTCAAAAGAAAAAAAGGGAGTAGATGATGACTTTGAGGAGAGGGAAGGGAATGGGGAGGGGATGTGATATGAGAGGTTTCCGAGAGATTCTGCAAAGAGAGAGAGAGTGAATGAATGATGGAAAGAAGGGTCGTTACCTGCTTCGGTATCAGATCAGGTGGGTGAGATTCTAGAGAGAGAGAGAGATAGAGATAGTGTTTTGGAGAGAGAAAGAGTAGTTAGGGTTTGAGAAGTGTACGATGGTGGTGGTGAGTAGTAGAGAGAGAGAGAGAGAGAGAGAGTGGTGGGGGGTTTTGACTGGTTGGTCTACCAGACAGTTCTGGTTTTGCTGTCAGTCGGTGGGCCTGTGGATTTTGTTAGTTGGGTTGTGCTGCGGAGCAAGGATCCTCTAGAGTCATTTTTTTTTAAAATTTCTTAGAATGTTACATTGTGTGGTTGAGATTTACTGACAAGTCACATCAGAAAAATTGATGTGACTTGCCAGTAAATCTCAACCACACAATGTAGCACTCTAGGAAACTTTAGTAAAATTTCACTCTAGAGGATCCTTGGTGTGTGCTGCGTCCACCATCACGTGTGTTTCTGCTTCGTTAGGCATCACCTTTGTCAAGTTTGACATGATTAAAAAAAAAAGATAAAAAATTAAAAAATTATTATTTTATTTAAGTTATATTATTTCTCTAACACATCACTTCAAATCCAATCTAAACCCAACTCATATTTCATAAAAAGTTAAAAAGTACACTTATTTAGTCTTCTCAAACTAGACCTGAATTTATCACTAAATTAAAATTTAATGCAAAAATTTTCCATTTTTATATTTTAATAATTTTATTAAATCTGTATTAAATTGAGAATTTAAAAAATATTTCATCAAATTAAGAATTTGGGTCACCTTTTATTATTTTACTGTGAATGATCGTTGAGCTAAGACCCATCGGACGACGTGCCAAACATCCCTGACCATCCTCTTCTTTGAACAATTTCTATAAAAATAGATAACACAGAGTGTTGAAAAATTAGTTTGTGCAACCATGACTTTTGGCCAGGCCCGGTTCTGAGATTTCCGAGGCCCAAAGCTGATAATCAACTAATAAATTTCTGGGGCCCTTCACATTTTTTTTTCATTAAATGAAAAAAAAAATTTAAGGTAAAAGACAAAATATTTGTATTAAAATCACAAAAAATATTTAGGTGCCGTTTGGTAACGCTTATGTTTTTAGTTTTCTGTTTATATTTACAAAAATTTAAAAAATTCAAATACAAACTTGTTTGGTAAATTTTTGATTTATAAATCAGTGGTCTCAATTTATAAATTTGGCTAAAAAATGTAAACTCAAAAATGTGTTTCCGTTTTGAGTTTTGAGTTTTTTTTTTTTTACAACCTAACACTAGCCACCACCCGCCACCATTTTCCACCACCGTCTTCCTAAAATAAAAACTCAAACCAGAGATTCAGGTCTAAATCCCAACAATATATAGATTTGACTCAGGAGAAATTTAAAGGGAAAATCAGAGTTTTGAAAAAATAATTATAAATCAGTAAAAAAAAATATAAATATTAATAAATAAATTATAATTTTTTTTTCAAAATTTCACTAATTATTCCAAATTTGTTTCGGCATAATACTAGAGGCCATTGAGTAACATTTACATTTGTAATCTTTTTATATTTATAAAAAATTTAAAAATTATAGGCAAGTTAAGTGAATTATTATTTACAAAAAATTAATAAATAATTTATTTGTAACAAAAAAAAAATTTATTTTTATTTGTTTCAAATACAAATATTCATCCCTTCTTCTTTCTTTTCCTCCCTCCTCCCATCACTCACTACCAGCCACCCATCATCTTCAGCCATTGTTATCGAAAATCTCCTCTCACCACCACTACTACCCACCACCACCCGCCATCCGCAACCCACCAGCCACCACCATCACCCACCACCTACCTCCCACCACCCACTCGCTACCACCTACCACCCGCCACCGTCACCCACACATCCACCGTCACCATTACCACCCGCCCCCCACCCACTACTACCACCCACCCGCCACTACCCACCACCACCCGCTACCCATTACCCACCGTCACCACTTTCCACCACCGTCTTCTGCCGCCACTTGCCGTCACTTGCCGTTTCTCACTCTTTTTTATTTTTGAATTTTTAAAAATATTTTGTCAATTACCAAACGCGTTTGTAGTGTATGTTTTTCTAAAAATAAACAAAAATCAGTTTATAAAATTTTTGTAAATATAACCTGAAAACGTAAACGTTTCCAAACAGACCCTTAGCATTACAATAGCTCTTCTTTGACACTTGACTAATTTTTCGACTCTTTGCTTCTTTTTCCTTTTTGCGAATTCAGACGAATAATTTCTTTTAAGAGTCATGATGAGCTGAGATTAAAATATTTTTTTAGATCAAAATTCAAAACAAGAGCACCACCACCACTTAACAAAACACAAAACTTTTAAATTATGTGATGTGAACTATTAAACTTAAACAAATTCTTCTTGATGATGTAAATACCAATATTATAATAGCAATTAATTGAGCAAAAGACAAAACAAATATTTAATTAATTGAATAGAAAAAAAAAAATTACCCGTGCTTGCTGCTGCTCCCCTCCGTGTCCGTGTGCTCTGCTCTGTTTGTGTGCTGCTGCTTGGTTGCTTTGTTGGCTTGGAAAATTTGATAAAGAGAAGGTAGTAGCGTTAGAAATTAAATAAGCCTTTCAAGCTGCTGTCAAAGTGGGCCTTAACTGTTGGCCTTTAATTGTTAGGAATTAAGAATTGGATTAATTGTTGGGCCTTTCAAATTGCTGCTTTGTTGGGCTGCAGTGTTGGGCCATTTAATTTTTTAATGGTTCAATTTATTTTAAGTTAGTTTAGGTCTTTTTTAAATTTTTTTGGGACTTAAAACATACATAATATATTATATTAAATTATAATAGGAGGGGGCCTCTTTTTTGGGCTTATTTTGAGGGGCCCTAAGCCATGGCCTTGTGGGCCTTTGGTTAGGGCGGGGCCTGCTTTTGGCTAACTTTGAGCCACTAGTATAAAAATGCTTAAAGATCACACTTAAAAAAATTAAAATATGACACTTTTAATAAAAGTGTAATTAAAAAAATCAAATTAATATTTTAATCACACCTAATTTAATTAAGTATGATAATATTTATTTTTTATGTCACTTTTCAATTAAATGTGATTATATCTTTTTTTTAATCACACTTTCTAATTAATGTGTGATTATATTATTTTTAAATTTTATTTTTATATCTAACTGTCTTCCTCTCTCACGCCTGTTCGTCTTTCACTGTGACTCTCTCTCTCTCTCACACACACACACACACACACACCCACACGCACACCTACCTCGGCCCTCCTCATTTCACATCATCTCTCTCATTTTGTCTCCATCGCCTTCAGGTACAGGAGCATTGTTGCCATCGCACATGAGCACCACCGTTGGAGCATTACCCAAGGTGTGTCCTCTCTATTTCGCCCTTATTCTGTCTCTCTTCCCTTAATTTCAGCCTCTAGGGTTTTCGATAGTGTTGCTATTTGGAGAGAGAAAAAGAAACAGAGAGGACACAGAGAGAAATGAAGTGTTGCTGGCAGAGAACAGAAGACGAAACGACAAGGGCTTCTTTGATCAATAGGTCTTTGACTTCTATTTACAACTCCAAATTAGCGATGTGCATCGAAACTCGATTTCTGAGTCGGTTTCGCATTGGGTTCACTTCTTCGAGCCTTGTCAATTTCGGGAAGGTCTCTTCTTCGATTGTCTACAAAACTGTCTGTGAAGCCCCAAACTAACATTGAAGGCCTCAACATTGCCGATGATGACTCTCAGGTGAGTTAGTCAATTCTTTTTTGCTGAAATTCACAAGAGTTATGATGTGGGTACTTGTTATTTCTTGGAGTTTTGACTTTGAACTGGCAAGTTTTTCAAATTGATGATGTGTTAATTTAAATTCAGTAGAGCTATTGAAGAATTAATGGAAATTACGAAGTGGGTTGCTTTTATTTTATGTTTTGGAATTTTGATTGTGAAAGAACTAGTTTTAAAATTGTTTTGTTGTTGCTTAGAAGTTAGAATAGTGTTTTACTTTAGATTTTGGAGTTTTTTTGAAAAATTAATGGAAATCGGAATAGGGGTTTGCTTTCATTTATTTATTTATTTTTTATTTTTACTTGGAAAAATGATTTTAATTGTGAATTGGCTATCTTATCAATTTTGGACTGTTTTGAACGGTTTCAGTACTGTTGATATGTTAGTTAGGTGAAAAAAAGTTAGTATTGTTTAGAATGCATTATGGAAATTGGGAGTTTTGTTATTTATTTTTTTTTTTGAAAATTTAATTTAAAAGTGTGGGTTTGAAAAATTGTACTGCTTAGATGAAAAAATTTGATGGATGTTTTATGATTCTGCAAAGTAATGATAATGAAATCTATGGTCTAGAAATCTATAGTTTGCTAGAAAGCAAAGAACTGTCTTTTGATGTACAAAATTTGGGTATTTTGTTTTGTTGTCTTCATAAGGTCAACAGTAATCTCATTTGTCATGGCAATGTTTGAGGTTCAATTAATAAATGAAAATGTGAATTAGGATACTGGTTTCAAATTTGAATCGATGAGCAAAATATATATCTTATTTTCTTGGAAAAAGAGATTAATGGAATTTAATGATTCGATGAATTTTGTACATTCCTGGATAAGGTCACCTTTTATGCTCATGCCTGTTATTGTGCTTCAAGGAATTGTGATTATTTTGTACTAAGTTTGTGTTTACAAGAATTTTATAAAATCAACTTTTGTTTAGAATGACTCATGAGAAGCATGACATAGGTTTATAGTGCAAAATCCCATTGTAATTGGGCTAATATTAA